CCCATTTGCCCGCAGCATCTTCATGGGCAAATAGGGGGGGGGCGTAAACCTAGTATTTGGTTGCTATGTTTCTGAAAATCATCATATGGTGTGCAGGTTTTGAGTTTACTATGTCTCATTGGAGGTCTTTCGAGGACATACGTTGGATTTGTCACGAAAGATGCTGGTGTGGAGAACGATGAAACACTCACCAACAACAGTAGTGTCAACATGTATTAGAAGGCCTGGAATACAATAGCACGCTCACCAATGTCTGCAATGGCAATGGCCGGGACAACAAATTAGTATTAAAATCAGATTTAAATATACATATATAATCAATATCGCGCTGCAATTTGAAGGTGCAAACACTGCAGCCCGACATCATCAGCTTCTCAGCGCTCCCTGCATGGATCAATCAGCAGGGAAACTGGTTCGTGGGATTGCCGCCTGCAATGCCGAGTTACATAGCAGAAGCTTGCTTGGTTGATGGGCTTGTTGCTACAGCCACAGAGTTTTGTTGAGGCTTAGCCGAATTTGATTGTCCACCAGACTTACCTTTCCTTGATGGGCTGGTGGCATGTAGATGGTCAGATGTTGCTTAAATTCTGAGCTACTGCGAGATGTATTTTCTGAAGGTGGAGTTGAGAAACTCGTTCATCTTGCAATAGGCCAGGGCTAGGGCAGTGGAATCTTGAACTCACCTATGGCTCCAGCGCTTTTCGGACAGACGAGGGCTTTGCGCTATTGCTGGCTTTACACGGCATGCTCACACAGCAACGGCAGGCGCTGACAACATCGTTTGGCGTGGCTGGCCGCTGGGAAGCTGCAGCGGCTTTGGGCAGGCCTTGACGTGTACATCCCTTGAACAGCTCTTTGCTCAAACCCTAACGGTCTAACGCTCAGGGGAATTATTCACACGGCGACGCATCCACAGTTCTCATTCCGACTACAACACTTATTGTGGATATTTTCGGCCATGGGATGCCCAACTGCCCACCTGCAGCATGAAGACCCGTGCCCCAAGCCGTGCATGTTCCGAAAGAAGACCAGGTTGATGAAGCTCTGGCTGGAGGGCAACGCCGAGATCTTAGCAAGCAGTAGCATGTTGGCCACTGGCCGCAGCTATGGAGCCTGCTTGCTTCCGCAAGGACGCAACATGGCCAAGACAGCTGCAATTGTCATCGCAATTCATGACTTCCTTGGGTGGCGGTGATACTTCTGATTGTGGTGGTGGTGGTGGTGATGACGATGAGGGTAGGTTTGTCAGAGGCACTCGCTTGATCAGTGCTTTCCTTCGAACATGCGGCGGCAGGCTAGATTTTCCCATTCATGCTGAGGTCGTATCATCTGGAGCAGCCATTAATGCCTTTCAACGAGGCGGGCCTACGATAGGCTCAACCATTGGTGCTACTTCAGCTTGACTTACTCAGTTCATGGTATTCACTCCAAAGATGAAAGTTTGCAAGTCTATCGGCTTCTTGTACACGGAGACATGCAATGCTTTTGCGTCAATGCGCCAAGCTGCAATGGGCATCTGCACAGGAAGCCAGTGGGAGCTGGCGCTGGCTTCTTTGCAGAGGACGGCAGGGTGACGTCACTCAGCCTTCAGCTGAGGCTGG